TCCATCCTGAGAAAAAGGTGTTTTTCGGTGTTAAGATTGCAGTGGGTTAAGAAAATAATTTCCCATTGACAGTCTCATTATTTTACTTTTTCCCAGGAAAAATACACACAAAAAGAGTAAAATTAAAAAATTAAAGTGACAGTACACAAATAACAGTCAAAAACACAGAAAGGGTATAAAACACAGATAAATATAAAAACTAAAGGAAATAAAGTAAACTACCCTTAACCCCCCCCCCCCCCCCCATAAAAAAAAAACAACCAGACAAAAAAAAAAAACAAGCAAATTACACCTGTCCAGCATCAGACACGTTCAATGAAGTCAATAATATTGCCTGAAAACCAATTGTGCAAAAGTCACTCAATGCCTAGAGTCAGATGGAGATAAGAAGGGCACAATGAGACATGTGAAGGTTTTTTCTCAGACCTGTAGTAGAGTACCTGGTCCTGGTTGACAGCAATGATAGAAACAGAATACAAAGAATATAAAAATAGCTATGTTAGTACAACAGTTTTAGGGCTGATCCACATATAAGATTTTGATTACCTTTGATGATGAGAATTAGCCTTTAGCTGACAGTTGCCTCTTTTGAAATTGAAGGTCTTGAAACAAGGCAAGTGTCAATAATATTCGAAATCTCACACTTACAGACAATTAATATGTGACACTATCCTCCTGTAGGATTCTCATGGCTGACTGTGGTCTCTCCTCAAAAATTGTAAACCGCCATCTGTGCAATGCTTGTTTTCAAGGGCCAGCAGAATCAGTGAAGTGGCTGAATAGACGTCTAGGGACCATTTAGAGCTACATTGCCTATACATTTGCAGCATTAGAGGATGCATTCATATCTTTCTTGTAGCAATATTCTTTTTCATAACGAGAGGGACTCAACACTTGCCCCTTTACCAGTCCAGTGCTTTTCCATGTCAGTGTAAACTAGATCTTCCTGGAGCAATCATCCATTAACTCCAGTGGAATGCTAGTGCTCATAGCGGTAGCAGCTAATACCCCTGCCACGGCGATTTAATCAAACAGTAGAAACATTATGTGATGATGTCTTTATGCAGTGAACAAAGACTTAAAGCATCCTGGTTTGTTGGCTTAAAAAGTTCTCACTTCTCTCCTCTCCAGTGGTCCATGTCTTCTACCATCCCCTCCAATGTTGCAGCCTCTATTGAAGCATTTGACACTTCCTGAAGTGTCAGATGCCTCTCTCCTCCACTGCACAAAGTGGTTCCTTCCTCCAAAACCTATGTTGCTTCAGGACACAGAAGTAAAGTAGGGGTCGGAGGATGGAACCACAATGCATGAAGGGAAACACTAGCATTTCACAGTTCTGGAACAGAGGTAAAGTAGAATACAGGGGCCACTATAAGGGTAAATATAATATCTCTTTTATTGAAGAAGGCTGCTATTAAGATTTTTTTTTAGTAGCTGAAAGGGTCACTTGAAAATAAAACTATAATGGCTTGAGGTTAGTTTTATTTTATTTTACAATTGTTTGTTTTATATTATGTTGTATGTATAGTTTATGTATCATATAAGTTATCTAAAACATTTGTTACAAAATAAATTTTTAATAGGGTGAATCCATGACATTGTATAAAGCATGCTGGGTTTTCTATGCTGAAGATAGCAGTAGCTTTTCCCTTTGTGACTGTTTCCCTCTGACTAATGTTTCCTATGGTCCAATATATGTGAGTAGACCAGGGAAGAAGGAGGATGGGCCATATTTATGATTTCTTCAGCTTTGCATGTAATTTCACTGTCTCCCACTAACTGAATCTTCCTGTGATCCCATGTGAATAGAGCAGAGAGGAAGGACGTGATCCAACTATCTGACTTCTTCAGCTTTGCTTGTAATTTGAGTTTCAGCAATTGATCTCTTAAAACAAAAGGCTTGTTTCAGTAAAGCTATTAAAACATAACTTTGATGCTGCAGGTCCGCAGGGGTATTGCAATAAAGTGCGTAGTATGATACATTTGCCCATTGTGTGCATATACTGTATATATTTATTGCAATATTTTTGTTGTGGATATTTTTGATCTTGGTCATCATTTACAAAGCTTGCATGGTTTATAATTTCTAACCTATTGATACAAACTGTATATGTCATACTAGTACCTGAATTTTTTTGCTTTGCATGCCTGGGGCAATTTTATGACTTTATATCTATCATGTAGATAAATCTTTTTTTGTAAAACATAGTTATTGTCTAGATTCATGGGTGGTTTACCCTTTAAGTGGCAATCCATCCAAAATTTCCTTTTTTTCTTTATTCTTCCTTTTTTATAGAGAACAAAAAAACAACAAGGGCAAGGGTAAGGGTAATACTCTTCAAAAGATACACAAAAATCAACTTATAGAGTAACTGTGATAGGGTGGTGGGCAATCTGGTGCTAAGAGACACTATCTAAGAGGGTCACTAACTGACATCAGTGATAATACTTTACACGGACACTGTACTAATGACACTGGCTGGAAAGGGGTTAACATCTAAAGGCAATCAAGGGGTTAAATGTGTGCCTAACAATGTGTAATGTATGTAATATGTGTTGCTTTTATTCTACTATCTGTCTGTTTTTTCTCCCTGCTTTGCAGGGAGAAGAAACAGTCAGACCGCTGTTCCCTGTACACAGAGTTCTATGTATTTGTGTGACTGGCCAGAGTCGGTCAGCTGACTTCAGATATAATCATTGACTGAAACCGTCTGCCAAACTTGTGCTGTGTCTAATCACAGCATGGGTAAGCAGGGGGCTACTCATGTACACCCCAAACCCAGAAGAAAGGTTGTGACGGACGTACCAGTACATCGCCCGGCCTGCAGTGCAACTATTATCGGCTGGCAGCATGCAGTTAATTTGTAGGGTATACCAAAATATATATCATTTTTAAGTTTCTCTCATCAGTAACACATTTTATAGAAATTATAATGACGCTCTGTCATATCACAAATTACATTGTGAAATATTATGATTGTAAAATAAGTGTAAATTGTATTATTGTTATTATTTCCTCATTGCCTGTGAAACTATCACACATGCACATGTCTTTCTATGAGCAAAGAGAAAATGAATACATCCAAACACTTATAAAGAATAATAATTTGTTTTTATTTCTCCCAGCACCTATGCACAGTGCCAGATTACCAAATAGGCAGAGCAGGCACTGGCATATGTGCCCCAGGGGCAGACTGACAACTCATGGGCCCCCGGGCAATAGGGGATCATGGGGGCCCTGTGTCCTTGCCCAAACTCAAAAAAGCCTATGAAAAAGGTACCAGGGGCATCTCATGGGGCCCCCTACTGATACCGGACCCTCGGGCAGTGCTCGAGTTTCCAAATGGTCAGTCCACCCCTGAAGAGCCCCACACTGACAGCCCAGAGACAACGGATCAAAATAATACTGATTTGATCTTGAAAGAAAATTACAATGAGGCTTTCTTAAATTGTTTGCAAAAAATAGAAAAATGAATTTTTCTACTCGAAACAAAATTTTCACAAACTCTATAGAGAAAATACTGTATTAATATAATGTACTCAATAACAATTTAAAGTACATAAACCATAGAAATCAGGTTCACATTACAGTTTGTCTATTCTTTGTCTCTGTTCATTTTCTTTAAACTGCTAGCTTGTAAAAAAAATGTGGGTGCCACCTAGGTATGTGTATGGTGATGGTCATCCCAGTCTTGCAGCCAATATGCACATTATTTAGTTCAATGTTATCCCACTAGAATGTGCACACGAGAAACCTCCAGAAACCTGCGAGGGGGCCCCAAGGTTTCGACTGCCTAGGGACCTCCACAGAGTTTTATCCAGCACTGGCTATGCATTAGTCCTCATGCACACTGGACATTTTTACAGCTGCTGTTTTTGGCTTTTGATGTTTTTTTCTAAAGACAGGAAACTCCCCAGCATGTTATCCTTTGTGTCCATGCACACATAGACTGTAATACACATTTTTTTGGCTGGGACGTTTTTTTGGCTGGAAAAAAAACCCCAGAACTAGTGGGTTTCTAGAGGAGTTTTTTAGCTGTAAAAATGCTCTAACGCTGAAAAAAGTGGCAAAATGTGGTAAAAAGTGGTAAACCTCAACAAATTGGCATTTTGGGACTTTTTTTGATGAAAAATGTAGGAAAACGTGGCAAAACATGGCAAACTGCCAATGCAAAAACGCTAATGCAAAAGCACTAAAAAAAAGCTGAAAAATTCACGTTTTTAACTTGACTTTACACAGCTAACATTACCAGTGTTATCAAAACGCCCCGTGTGCATGAAGACTAAAGATCAAAGTTCAAAGCGATCATATCAGTACACCAAAAAAATTACAATGTGGACAGAACAATATATTTTCTACCTCATTGGATCTATTAGAAAATGTAGACATATTTCATCTGTAAACCCCTACAAAAGTTACAATCTACATAGATAAAACAATATTAGTCTTATCTAAACGGCATTCCATTACCATCAGTAGATACCAAAAGCATCTAACTGAAAACACACATTGCCATGATAAAGCAACCAATTTAACCACTTGCCCCCAGCGGATTTACCCCCCTTCCTGACCAGGCCATTTTTTGTGTTACAGTGCTGCGTTACTTTAACTGACAATTGCGCGATCATGCAACACTGCACCCAAATGAAATTTATGTCCCTTTTTTCCATGAATAGAGCTTACTTTCAATGGTATTTGTTCACCTGTGCTTTTTTTTATTTTTTGTGCTATAAAAAAAAAAGACCAACAATTTTGAGAAAAAAAACAACATTTTTTACTTTTTGCTATTAAACATGTCCAGTAAAAAATATTTTAAAAATCAAATGTTGTCATAAATTTAGGCCAAAATGTATTCTGCTACATGTCTTTGCTGAAAAAAAATCCCAATATGTGTAAATGAATTGGTTTACGTGAAAGCTATAGCGTTTACAAATGGCGGTATATACTGGGATTTTTTATTTTTTTTTTATTTTTACAAGTAATGACGGTGATCAGCAACTTATTGCGGGACTGCAGCGGGCATTCTGACACTGGGTAGGAACTGACTTGGTGTCACTGACATCCCCAGTGACACCAATACAGTGATCAGTGCTAATAAAAAGCACTGACACTGTACTAATGGCACTGGGCAGGAAGGGGTTAACATGTGGGGCGATCAAAGGGTTAACTGTGTGCTGTTTTACTGTGGGCTGTATGTGCTTTCAACTGTAAGCACACTGTTTTGTATGGCCTTGCTATGCAGAGCCATGCAAAGCAGTGTGCAGGAGCTGACAGGAGAGAGAACTGTACTGTTTACATACTCTCCCTCTATTGGTAATGCTCTGCGATCACCGGATGCCGGTGAGTAATCACTGGCCGGACCCGGTGATTGACAGCAGAGACACTGAATAGGCACGCCCCCTACCCAGAAATGCAAAATCACGTATATATTCGTGGTTTTGCTCACCTGTGCCACCCTGCAGCAGTATATCTGCTATAGAGCGGTGGGAAAACAGTTAACTGAGCTTGATTTATCAACAAAGCTATGTGATCGCTATAATAGCACTGACATTTTGATCACATGACTTTGTTTATAAACACAGAGTAAGATGATTTTTAGGGTTAGGGCTAGCATTAACATTGGCCTGATGGTTTTTGCTGGTGGTAAGGTTAGAGGGTTTTTTTGGTCCAGGTCCAGGATAGCTCACTGCACACTGCCAAAACCATTTTTCACATCTTCACCTTCCCCATTGATTCTAATACTTTTCATCACACATGGCAAAAACATAAATTGGCCTAATTTTGGTGGAAATTTTGCCAAAGGGAAAACCCAAAACTGATGCAATCAGGATCTGGTGCAGCCCTGCATGGTAATCAATCAGCTTCTAACTTCAGCTTGTTCAATTAAGCTTTGACAATTAAGATTGGAAGCTGATTGGTTTCTATGCAGAGCTGCCCCAGATTTTGCACCATGCAGTTTTAGTAAATAACCCTCATGATTATGCACATACTTAGTCATAAAATTATGGATTTAATAAATCACAAGAGGAAGCTTGTCACTGGGCACCGCAAGGCCAGAATTAGTCAATCTACCTCTTAAATATCAGGTGCAATAGCGTTTTTTAAAACACTGCAATATAGTCTTCATTTTTCAGGTAATCAGCGGCTCCTCAGGACACAGGGGCACAATGTGACAGTGACTCAGCCGTATACATTATTACATTTAAATGCGGAAAAGAGAAACACTGAATAGTATTAGTGTATCTCTCTGTGCTTATGATTCTACATTAAAATGTAAATGCACATATTTAATTCAAACGTAATTATGTAAATATGAGCCTCCGAGGCACAATTTATTGCGTGCAGATATGTAGATGAGATTTAAAGTTAGCTAGAACCCCAAGGCCTATTTAGATTTTTGCCTTGGAAATTTGCACTTCTCAGTGGGCATGAGATATTAAGTCCATATGAAAAAAATTTTGTTAATACCACACATACAACACATATACGTATATTAGGGACATATATTCTAATAAGTGTAATAGTAGCTTTCTTTTATGCAGTGCACGGGGTACATTATTATTATTATTATACAGGATTTATACAGCACCAACAGTTTGCTCAGCACTTTACAATATAGCAGGAGACAATACAGCAATGATACAGTTCAATACAAGAGGGTTAGGAGGGCCCTGCTCCTTGGAGCTTACAATCTAAGACGCAGGGGCTTAATGTACAAAGGGTAGTAACTGTGGGGAATGAACTGATAGTAGGAATATAAGATTCGGTTATTAGCTGAAGGTAGGATAGGCTTCCCCGAAGAGATAGGTTTTCAGAGATCACCTAAAAGTGGGCAGAGTAGGCGATAGTCGGATTGATTTTGGTAGAGAGTTCCAGAGGATGGAGGAGGCTCTGGAGAAGTCCTGGAGACGAGCATGGGAGGAGGAGAAAAGGAAGCTAGAGAGCAGGAGGTCGTGCAAGGAGCGGAAAGGACAGTTTGGTTGATAATTGGAGACCGGATTGGTGATGTAATATGGGGCAGAGTTATAAATGGCTTTATATGTTATTGTTAATGTTTTATTTGTTGGGCAATGGGAAGCCAGTGGAGGGATTGGCAGAGAGGGATGGCAGATATGGAAAGGTTAGTAAGGTGGATGAGTCTGGCAGCAGCATTCATGATAGACTGAAGAGGGGATAGCCTACAATGAGGTGAGAGTTACAATAGTCAAGGCGAGATATAACAAGGGAGTGAATAAGTTGCTTAGTAGTTCCAGAGGTTAAGAATGGGCGTATCTTGGAGATATTGCAAAGGTGAAGTCTACAAGATTTGGACAGTGATTGATTTTGGGGCTGAAAGGACAGATGGGAGTCTAGGATTACACCTAGTACCCTGGCATGAGGGGAGGAACTGATGATTGTATTATTGATCTTGATGGAGAAGTCAGGGGAGGCGGCACGGGCTGGAGGGAAAAGTATGAGCTTTGTTTTGGAAAGATTTAGTTTGATGAAGTGACATCCATGCTGGTATGTCATGTAGTAGGTTAGTAATGCGAGAGGAGACTGAAGGAGCGAGGTGAGGAGTGGAATGATAGATTTGTGTGTCATCAGCATAGAGATGGTACTTAAAGCCATGGGAGTTTATCATGTGACCAAGGGAGGAGGTGTATATGGAGAAGAGATGGGGTCCAAGGAGAGAACCTTGAGGGACCCCTACAGAAAGAGGAAGTGGAGAGGAGAAGACAGAGTTATAGGTAATACTGAAGGAGCACTGTGATAGATAGGAGGAGAACCAGGAGAGAGCAGAGTCTTAGAGGCCAAGAGAGTGGAGTTTTTTGAGGAGGAGGGGATGGTCAACAGTATCAAAAGCCGCAGAGAGGTCAATAATTACCTTATATATAAAGAGGCTTGTAATTGGGGATTTTCCAGTATAATAGAAAGTTACCCCTGCTTTCAATACTCTTACACCCTTTACTGTTATTGAGGACAGGATTTTCAGCTTGTAAGGGTGCTTACCAATAACCCCAGGTACATACATATAAAACATTATTCATTCTAGGTAATGTAAGTCATGTATTTTCAAATAGATATGTTCTAGATTGTTTTCTAAAATCAGCCTCTTCTGGGTGGAATATCAACACTGGGGCCCCCAAGAGTTTTAAGAACCCAGCATTCAACTCAACTTGGTGGCAACCATGTAAAATTCAATATCAAGAGATCAGTTTTTTGTTGGATTTGACCATCAAAGGTGTTCCTGGTCAGCTGCAATTTTCTCATTTTTAGGGGTCCCTTCGAAACAGATTGAGGTTGTTTGCTGATAAGTCTTTCTGTACAACAATTTTTATCCTTACTGTTTTATCCCACAGGTATTTTAGCCAGCCAGCAAGCAAGAAATTAGGAGCAATTTCCCTGGAAACAGTTAAACGCCAACTCTCAATAATTCTTTTCATAAGGAAATAAACAGAACTCTTTTTATCCTTAGCGGTTTAGCTCATAGGCACCTTATACAGCCAACAAACCATTCAAGAGCTATAGTAGGGGATCTATTATCCCTCAGTAAAGACTGTCAAGAGATAAACTGTCCTTGGGTTCAAATGATAATCTAATGGGAAGTCGTAAGAACCTACAGCTTAATAGCAATTCTACAGGCACATCTCCCAGCCTGTTTTTCTAACAGTTATATGTAGTACATCCCTTCATTTTGCCATTATTTTTCTAAATCAATATTAAGTACCTAGACTAGAGAAATATAATAGACAGATCATTGAAACATTATAGTAATGTGTAGCAGACACGGATGTTGAAAGCACTATAGAATGCAATGTTTCTTTCACAATAAAGAACTCAATATTTACCTCCTGGAGTTTTTGGTGCTATAAAACATTTACCTCCTAATTGGCATATGTCTGTTTCCGTACTTATCCACATGGATTCTGCTCAATACTCATTCATGTTCAATCAGTCTCCAGTCATTGTTTCCTTATTGATTGCTGTCCATCATAGGAGATGTACAAGAGTTCACTTTTACTCATACTAACAATTGTACCAACAATAACCTTCTACTAAGCGACTTTCATATATATTTAAATGTGCAGTGCAGTAAAAATGGGAAAGCATACAGTTTTCTTACAGGATACAGCCTACATGTGTGGGCATGTTTGTTCACCAGTCGAGCCTTCTACATTATTTTTCTGCAGGGCCCAGCGTGATATTTAAAGAGACTTGTAACTAGAGATTATTCAGTATATGAGAAAATTCACCCCTGCTTTTCACTTCTCTTATAATAGAATACTGGTTGACTCTGTCTGCCAGTATCCTTGATCTACTTATTCGCCCATGAAATTGCAAACCAATATGTCTTCTGGTTTAAGCACTGCTATGATTCTGCTTCCATTGTTGACATGCCTACAAACATACTTGAGCATAAAATGAAGGTTCCACGTCATAGAATCATGTGACAGGACTGAAACCAATGAGATTGCCTAAAGCCTATAGAGGAATCTGTTATATTCCTCTACATTAGATTTTGTTAGCATTCAGTTTCTATAGTGTAAATAACCCCCCCCCCCTTTTTTTTTTTTCTTAGTTTTTTTTTTAGTTTTGGATACAGTGTTGATAGGTTAGAACGCCTTTCAGATTTTAATATTTGTCTGTGCCCCCATCAGGGCTGTAGATCATTTTTCTCCTTGGGTGAGAGTTGGTTCAGCTTTGGGTACCCAGGAGAGAATAATTAGGCATTGTGCATGCCACACACTTACTCACTGTCTACATGGTGAAATAATGTATTTCTCAGCTCGTGTAACCAAAAGTTATGCCTTAATTATATGTGAGAGTCTAACAGACACCCACAAGCCTCAGTGCAATCATTTGTAAAAGAAAAAAAATGAATCTGTCAGGAGCATGTAGCACTCCTGTTACATCACAGCTACTGGTCTCATTACAGCATCCTGGTTTTGGTTGTGATACATTCTCCCTCTCTGTCTGTCCACCTGCAAGGTGATTGATGTGTCCAGTCTCTGGGTCAAAACCAAACCTGACTTAAGCCAGCCAAGCCTGCAGTCTCATGCTTGTGACATTGTGTCAGCCATGCCTGCTAGTTTGGATTCCCTCTTTGACAACCTCGGATTGGATATTGACTACTCTTTGAACTCTGCCTTCCTTGTGACTATGAACTTGACTGTGACTAATGTGAACCTTGCCTCCCTTGTCCCTGGACCGTTATTAAACCACTCTGCCTGTCTGCAAACCGCAAGTACCTGTTTGCTGTGCTCATTTTGTGCCTGTCCTGGCTTGGTGGCTATGTACTAAAGCTTTGTTTATAAGCCCTGGGTCAACCAAGTACTGATAGGCTGCTTGCATTATGTGAAAGGGGGCTGCTAAAGGGGAAGAACA